TTGTATAAAGACAAACAATGGACTGCAAGGCTGATACTACGTGAAAAATGTTTCGAGACACCAACATGACAAGAACCGGTAAAGCAGGATAGTGTTTGTCTTTATAAATTATAATTAAAGCGAGGCACGATTCGCCCGAAGGAGCAAGCGAACCTAGGGGGTCCGAGGGTATGCTCCCCTGGAAAGTTTTGAAATTGTAGGTTCCCAAATTAACGATGCGATTTCATGCATTTTGGGAACAAAGTGTTACGGAAAATGAGTCATTTTTTGTTTATGATCACAAAATTAGATGTAGCAAGTAGCGCTGTTTCACCTCTTTAAATACTACTTGTTTTTCTTGAAACGTCTCAGTCTGTAAGTCTTAATTTATTCTTATAGGTGTACAAAATTTTAATTACCGGAACAGGTGGCTACATTCGCCTCCTTCGCATCCTCCGCGCTGCCCCCACCTTGCCCAGGCTTTTAATTCGGCGCCAAAAATAAGTCGTCCGCGTCCGGTAACTCGATCGTCGCTCGTCGAGCGTCGCTATGTAAGATAATAGTTGTGCTATTTTGCTCAAGAAATAGTTTCTCGTCAAATTAGACCAGGCAGTATTCAAACTGAAAGGGATAGTGGCTCTCATCCACCAATTACCAAACTGATTAAAACGGATTCTGTTTAAGAAAAGATCCATCGTCCATTTGTCGCATGCCGATTATCGGAAGGCAGTTTGAATTTTCAATGAAACGCTGTTGAAAACGGCCTTCATACTAAAAAGCGTCCGATTTTACAGTTTTTCAACTGCGAAGGGATACTCTTTATACGTACTTTCTAAATCTCTTTTGGTTTAGGTGCAAATTGTAGTTTAATCATTACTCTTCCAAAGGCCGTTTGCCGAAGTCTATGTTACAACTTCAGGAAATCAGAAAAGCGATTTTTGTCAACCCAACTTGGCCAATTTGGGCCCTGTCTTCTCTTATTCTGACCTATTAAACACGCGTTCGCTGGTATGAACAATTAATCATGTCCAGGCATTCTGTGCGATGTCTCGAGTTTTGATCCAGAAAAGACCAAAGCAACTCGAAAACTCTCTTTATATTTTTTTTCAGCTGTGAAGAAAAAGACTCTCATCGCGTCGTTTCGATAGGACAGCACGGTTTTGGATTGCCACTTGTTACCAAGCATCGATGACTGAGTTTATTCCGCGGGAAAATTCGAGACCAACCAAAGAGCCAATCAGAAGACGCTACGAAGATCTCTATAAAGTTACGCAATCGTCATGGAATTTTCTGGGTCCAGTCTTAGACGTAACTAAAGCAGGAGACAGACCGGAGACGGATTGAACGAACGATGACAGAAGTCTGTTCTGGCAGGCATTATACTTTGTACTACATTAACCGAAATTTAAAAGCGTTTGCAGTGGGCCATTTCGAAAGGGCGCAAAAGTCCGTGGACTGGTTGTTGATATGTTTGAAATAGAAGGATTTTCCCCTTTATTTGTCTTTCTAGGTTAAACTAAACTAGTATTATTACAAAACTTTCATAAACTGCTTCCGTTCCAATACTGAGAGGAGCCATGCTGTTAATTCCTAGAAACGTTACCATTTATGGAAATGTCATCCATCACTCATAAAACAAGAGCAGGTCAGATCATCATCCTCATTGGCTGAAACCTTTTCTAGCTTGTTCTAAGAATTGAATTACTCATGCAAGTCATGATGAGGTAACTAAGTAAAAAAGTCAATGATATAATTTATTTTTCCTTACATTAGCATCAAGTGGTCGTAATTCGGTTCAGGAAGCGTGATTGGAACAGCCTCCTTTTGTCTCATGATGACGAGAGACTGAAACTCAGTACTTTTCCAGGCTGCGATCTCGCGCTTTCGCCCCAAAATTTTAGTTTTAGATCATTTTTTACGTTTTTTTCTTCTCTACACCTACCATGGCCTCTCGTTCAACTTTCACTTCACAAGCTGGCAATACTCTTCCCGAGTTACCAGTGAAACTACGGCCATTTGAGTCCAGGGGCTTTGAGGATTGTTTCTCGGCTGGTAATCTAGACACAGAATACAATGATTGCGTCTCCACCAATCTCAAAAGCTTGGCAGCGAGAGATAAAAAGCTCTTCGAGTGGATACCCATCTTTGAGGCCCAGAAGAGGATCAAGACTGCTCTGGGGGTGTTTCTCAAGGAAGAAGCTGAAAGGATAAAGAAATCTTTTGAAGAATACAAAAACAAAGGCAAAGACGAAGGTGAAGATTCTGAAGATAGCGACTCTGTAGATGAGGAACATGATGAAGTACAAGTAATGATTCCTTTAGCATTGCTTGAAGATAAAGCAGCTCTAACGCAACTTGAAGTCCGTTCTTTCGTCTTCAAAATTTGGGCGCGGAGAATACAGCTCACAAGAAAGGAGGATCAAGACAAGTACAAGAGTCTCCAGGATTTTGAACACGCCATTTACAACGCCCAAGAATCCATAAAACATTTCAAAGACTTTATTTTAGACAGACCGCGTTACAACAGAGAAGAATTGCAAGCCATGATTCCTTANTGGTAATTCAGTTCAGTAAGCGTGATTGGAACAACCTCGTTTTGTCTCACGATGACGAGAGACTGAAACTCAGTACTTTCCCAGGCTGCGATCTCGCGCTTTCGCCCCAAAATTGTAGTTTTAGATCAATTTTTACGTTTTCTTTTTCTTCTCTACACCTACCATGGCCTCTTGTTCAACTTTCACTTTACAATCTGGCACTACACTTCCCGAGTTACCAGTGAAACTACGGCCATTTGAGTCCAGGGGATTTGAGGATAGTTTCTCGGCTGGTAATCTAGACACAGAATACAATGTTTGCGTCTCCACCGATCTCAAAAGCTTGGCAGCGACAGATAAAAAGCTCCTCGAGCGGGTATCCATCATTGAGGCCCAGAAGAGGATCAAGACCGCTCAGAGGGTGTTTCTCAAGGAAGAAGCTGAAAGGTTAAAGAAATCTTTTGAAGAATACAAATGCAAAGGCAAAGACGAAGGTGAGGACTCTCAAGATAGCGACTCGAGAGACGAGGAAAATGAAGTACGGTTAATGCTTCCTTTAGCATTCCTTGAAGATAAAGCAGCACTAACGCAACTCGAAGTCCGTTCTTTCGTCTTCAAAATTTGGACACGAAGAATACAGCTCACAAGAAAGGAGAATCAAGACAAGTACAAGAGTCTCCAGGATTTTCAACACGCCATTTACAACGCCCAAGAATCCATAAAACATTTCAAAGATTTTATTTACAGCCAGCGTTACAACAGAGAAGAATTGCAAGCCATGATTCCTTACCATAAGGAACACCTTCAGAAGGCTTCAACTGAAACCTTGGAGGAAAAAGAAAAAGCCAGCTTTGAAATGTTAGAAGAAGATGTTGCTATTTTCT